AGGTTTTGTGCTAAGTGTGTCGAGTGCCACCGAGCTAAGTCAAAAGTACAACCTCATGGACTTTATATGCCGTTACCAATCCCTACACAGCCATGGATAGACATATCAATGGATTTTGTCCTAGGACTTCCTAAGATCCAACATAAGGACTTCATCTTTGTAGTGGTCGATCGGTTTTCCAAAATGGCTCACTTCATTCCGTGTGCTAAAACGGACGATGCCAAGCACATAGCCGACCTATTCTTTAAGGAGGTCGTAAGGCTACACGGTATTCCTAAGACAATAGTGTCCGATCGGGATTCTAAATTCCTCAGCCATTTCTGGCGGATCTTATGGAAAAGGATCGGCACTAAGCTCGTCTTCTCTACTACTTGTCATCCACAGACGGATGGATAAACCGAGGTAGTGAATCGTACCTTATCTACACTTCTGCGCGCCACCATCAGTAAAAATCTAGGCAATTGGGTTGATTGCATTCCACACGTCGAGTTCGCCTATAATCGGGCCTCACACTCCGCAACTAGGCATTCGCCATTTGAGACCGTCTACGGTTTCAACCCAATCACGCCTATGGACCTTATAGCACTACCTAACGACGAGTTAGTGAACTTAGATGGAGAATAGAAAGCTGAGTTCATTAAACAACTCCATCAGAAGGACCGAGAAAATATTGCTCGAAGGACGGAGCAATACATTCGTCAGGCTAACAAAGGCCGAAAAGCAATAACGTTTAAGGAGGGAGATTGGGTTTGGCTACACTTTAGGCCCGAGCGTTTTCCAGATAAACGCAAGTCCAAACTCGCGCCCAGAGGAGACGGTCATTTCCGAGTTATCGAGCGCATCAATGACAACGCCTACCGACTCGAACTTCCAGGTGAGTATAACGTGTCTAGTTCTTTTAACGTTGCTGATTTACTTCCTTTTGATGCAGGTCATGAATTTTCGTGGGCGAAAACTTCTCAAGAGGGAGGGAATGATGAGGACATAGAGACCGGACGCACGGACAAAGAGTTGGAACGCACAGAACGGGAGCAAGATAGCTTGGAGTGCACGGAGCGGGAGCGGGATAGCTTGGAATGCAAGGAGCTGCCTAATGCCGAGCATATCGTCAATAGTGATGGGGAACTTCTAGATGAGCCAAGGCCAAGGCATACACGCCCAAACCACAGGCCCGATCCACCCCTTACTCGAGCCAAGGCGCGTGCCCTTCGCGAACGCATCACCTTATTCGTCTCCGACATGCTGGACGAACTTCATTCCAAGGACATGAGCCCAGCCCATCTTGGAGCAGCCCATACACGCCACTTAGTGGAGATTTCGGTCCATGATGTTGCTGAAGAAACACATTAGATTATGTCATTTTTCAACAGCTATATTGTGTACTTAAGAGAGCATTAATTACCTAGCTTGCATGCTTATCTAGCTTTGAATGCTAAGAGCTGTTGGAAATGTTTGAGATTGCTATTTATCCTTGTAATTTTCAGAACTCATTACCTAAGAAATCTATTGCCATTTTCGAGCTTAAGCTTGCTGTGTTTGTTGAGTTATAATCTCCAAACCGTTATCCCCGTTGGTGTGTCCGACGAAGGGCTTCGGTGTGTCCGAGCCAGCTTTCGGTTTGTCCGAAAACCTTTCCTCCTTATCTCCATCTCACCCACTGAATCTTAGCTTGAATTCGAGTGCCTCACAAGGTCGGTGATTGAGCTAACATTCCCATCACATTCCATCCAACATCCTTAGCCGAAACACGTGAGTTCGAGTGCCAATACTTGTGCCGGTGATTGCGTTGTTCGGGCCACCTTATATCCACGAGTTCGAGGCTTACATCACCTACGCTGTTTGGCGTTTCTCTTGGGGTTTTTGAAGGGAAAAGAGGCAAGAAAACCCTAAGTTGGAAAGTGAGCCGAAAATAGAGACCTTGGGAGAGAAAAAGAGAGCTCTTGGATGAGAAAGAAGAAGAAGGAAACGACATTGAAGATTGAAGATTCCTTGAGCATCTCTCACCTTTCTCTCTATGATTTCTGCACTTTACCCTTGTTTTGCTTTGTTCTTGAACATTGGTTGTGAGTAATTTTCTTGTTGTGGGATGAGGGATTAGCCCTCATGTAAGGTGTTTGTATTCACCTTTTGACCCATGATTATGTTATGTTATTGTTTTCAAACTCTTGCAATGAAAGAAATTTGTGTTTCATATTTATCCCTTGTTCTCCCTCTTGATCAAATCTTTTAGGAAACTTAGGGATCATGATTTGGGTGAGGTCTTTGTTTGAGTTTGATTGATAGAGGTTGATGAATGGTATTTAATGCTTTCCATGGGGTGAAAACCTAGTGGGTAGATCTTAGAGTTAGGAGTCACATGGAAACATGGTGTCTTGATTCATCGGTTCATTCATTCGACGGGTTGTGGATGAATGCGAAGAAATTCGATTCAACTCAACCTAGGATTATGAAAAGGGCGTTTAATGCATTTGGGATTTTACTCTAAGCCACGAGAGTGGATAGGGTGCTCTCTTAGATAACGGGTATTTGGCTTGAAAGAGTCGAACGCGACCTTAGTCTTCGAATCCCTCACTTTAGAACAAGCATGATCTAGGTCCATCACTCTTTACGACATCGTTACATGATCAGTTATTCCCGAAACCCATGACCTTTCCATTGATTATTTTCTCGTGAATTCTCTTGCCTTGATTTTAGTTTCTCTTATTTAATTTTCTACAACTTTCAAAACAACAACAACAATTTCCAAATTTTGCTTTTACCATTTTCCTAGTTTTGATCGATTCCTAGTTTAACCGCACTGTCTTTGTGTTCGACCCCGTACTACATCATCCGTATACTTGCGGATTCATTGTGTGTCGGGTATAAATTTAAAGCTCGTCACGCAAGTGATCATGTTTTTGGCGTCGTTGCCGGGGATTTTTTACGGTTTCCATAGTTAGGATAGATTGACTCTAGGCCAGTCTTTCCGGAGTCTTTGATTTTTTTTCGGTTTGATTTTTCGTGTGTTTGTTCACTTCCTTTTTCTTTGAGTGTTTGTGTGATTTTTACTTTTCTCTTGAGTCATATTTCCTTTATTTCTTGATTTTTCTCTTCTTTTTTTTGTTGTTTGTATTTTCCTGACTTTTCTGGACTTGTTCTGGATTTTTTGGGACTTCTCTAGACTGTTTCATATTTTTCTGGACTTTCCCGGATTTCTTCTGGACATTTCCTGGACTTTTCTGAATTTTTCTAGATTTTTCCCGATTTTCCTGGACTTTTCCGGGATCGTTCTAGATTTTTTTTGGTGCTTTTTTTTGTATTCTCTATCTTCTTATTTTCTTCAATTCACCTTCTCTGCCTTTTTCTGGACTTTCATTTTTTGTAGGTTCCCTTAGTGCATGAGCAGACGTTCCACCCGAAGACAACTCGATCCTGAATTTGAGCTTGCCTTTGACCCGAACATAGACAGGACAGAAAGGGAAATCCGTAGAAAACGAAGAGAGAACAGAATGACCGAAGAGGCAGCAAGGGGTGAAGAGCCGCCAAGAGAGCGTGTCCGAGTTAATCCGCAGACGCTTGGAATATACATGACACCTAAGCACACTCAGTTGCTTTCGTGTATCAACCGACAACCCCTAGACCATTTTGAGCTACAACCGCAGTCCATTCAGATGCTGAATCAAATGAGCTTTAGAGGGAGACATAATGAGGACCCAAATTCCCATCTTACGCAGTTTAAGATGTTGTGTCGAACCATCAAGAAGTCGCAGGGCATAACAATGGAAGATGCGATGATCGAGGCATTTTCCTTCTCTTTGATGGGCAAGGCGCGGGATTGGTTTTATCCCTTGGAGCCAAATTCCATTTCTACATGGGATGAGATGGAAGAGAAGTTTATGATGAAATACTACTCGCCCATGAAGACACAGTTGGCTCTGAATAAGATCAACTCCTTCGCCTAAGATGATGATGAGACCTTGTATGATGCTTGGGAGAGATAGGTTAGCCTTGCATTCCCATTTTTGTTTTCTTGATGGCTGGAAAGAGGATGGATTGATGCAACATGCGGAGGCAGTATGTATGATCTCTCTTTCGAGGGATTAGAGGCGCAGATTGCTAAGATGGCGAAAGGAATAAGCATTTCAGGGGAAATGAGTAGCAGATGATCTTTGCCTAGGGCTGATGTCAAAGGGGATATTAGCGAGTCTTCTTCTTTGCAAGCCGTTCTATCGGAGCTCTCTGCCATCAAACTACAGCTTGCTAAGATCGGTTCTTCAAACCCACGAAAGGTTAAACCGGGCATGTACATGGAAGACCAAGTAGAGGAAGCTACAGAAGAAGTTGACTACATGGGCAAAAATCAGTATAACAATCAGTCAAACTTCTATAATCCGGGGAATCGGAATCACCCTGGCTTTTCTTATGACAACCCGCAAGGAGCATTGAATCCTCAACATCATAGTGGACCGAAGCCTCAGGAACCCCTAGGATTTCAGCGCAGATACGAGAATCAGGGATATCAGAGTCAGAATCAAAGGTATCATAATCAATGTCAAGACTACAATAAGAGGAATCAGGGGTATAGAGCTCCTCCATCTCAGGCTAAGGAAGAAGAGTCAGAACTAAAGTCGATGTTGGCTCAACTAATGCATGATCAGAAAAACTCGTTTTCCAGCCTAAGTCAAGAGATGCAAGGATTTAAAGGGAAACAAGAGAGCTTTGAGCAGAGATCGGATGGGATGGATGCACATCTCAAGATGGTGGATAACCAGATTGTTTAGCTTGCTTCCCAAGCTGCAAGACCTCAAGGGAGACAGCTTCCGAAGACCTCCCATGTTTTCAGAGAAGAGGGAGAAGGTTCACACGAACCTCAGAGGGCCACCTTAGATAAAGGAAAGGGCCATGTTGTAGAGGGGGAAGACACGAGGTATATTCCGCCTCCCCCACAGGCACCCCCTCTACCATTTCCATCTCGGGCGAGGAAATATAATGAAGATAGCAAGTTCGCCAAATTTACGGAGATGCTGAAGAAGATAAAGGTGACCATGCCCTTTCATGAGGTAGTTATACAAATCATGTCCTACACCAAATTTTTAAAGGACATTCTTACGAAGAAGAGGGCGGTTGAGAAAGAGACAGTGGCACTTAGCACGGAAGTGAGTGCAGCCATATTGCAGACAGAGTTACCGCAAAAGATGGCTGACCCTGGTAGTTTCTCCATCCCGTGCAAAATGGGGATTGTGGAGATTGAGAGGGCACTTTGCGATTTGGGCGCAAGTGTCAGTTTGTTGCCTCTCTCCATATTCAAGAAGCTTAATGTCGGAGAGCTCAAATCGAAAAGGATGGCGGTGCAATTGTTCAATGGATCGGTGAAGTATCCCGCTGGGATTTTAGAAGATGCCTCTTAAGGTAGGGGAGTTCTACATCCCCGTTGACTTTGTTGTTCTGAACACGGCCGATGTTGTTGTGCATATCAAAGAGGGGTAGACTCGATGAAAATTGGCGACGAGACGGTTGAGTACAGACTTGATCAGAACCTTAAGCCGCCGCATTTGGTAGATTCTTCCTTCCACCTAGACCTGATCGACACATTGGTCGATGAAGTGAGGGATGAGTTCAGAGATTCAGATCCCCTCGAGATGGCACTGAACACGGTACGAGAGAGCGTGTATTGCGATTGGGAGGAAGTTCGGAGCATTGTTCGGACTTTAGATGACAGCTCAGCAATTGAGCTTGAGGGTTGGAAATACATGGCCGTTGCGCCCTTATCATGTTCCGCCCATGAGTTCCCTTGGCTAAGGGACGAGGAGAAAAGAGAGGAATCATCATCCTCTCCGAGTCATCAAGCTCCGATCTCCTCCATACAAGTCAAGCAGCCCGATGTGGAGAGGAACGGGAAGAAAGATTGGGATCCAGAAAGCGCGCCAAAGGTGGAATGGAAGCCCTTACCACAAGGGCTCAGGTATGAATTTCTCGGTCCTAATTCTACTTACCCAATTATTGTGAATGCTACTTTGACTGATGAGGAACTAGCTGCCTTAGTGACTTTGCTTAGAGAGTATAGGCATGCCTTATGTTACACTTTAAATGATATTAGAGGCATTAGTCCATCTCTTTGTATGCATCGCATTCACTTAGAAGATAGTTCCAAAACCTCCTTTGAGCATCAGCGTAGGTTGAATCCCACCATGAAGGAGGTAGTGAAGAAAGAGGTGCTTAAGCTATTAGATGCGTGTATCATTTACCCGATTTCGGTTAGTGCATGGGTTAGTCCCGTGCAAGTTGTTCCAAAGAAGGGGGTATCACTGTAATGGAAAATGAACGTAATGAATTGATACCCACTAGGACGGTTACGGATTAGAGGATGTGCATTGACTATAGGAAGTTGAATTCGAACACCCGTAAGGACCATTTTCCTTTGCCCTTCATCGACCAAATGTTAGAGAGGTTAGCCTTGCATTCCCATTTTTGTTTTCTTGATGGCTATTCGGAATTCTTCCAAATTCCCATTCACCCTAGCGACCAGGAAAAGACCACATTTACATGTCCATATGGCACCTTCGCATATCGTAGGATGCCTTTTGGTTTGTGTAATGTGTTAACGAGCAAGGAGAGCAGATGAAGAATTCAGAACATGAAGACAAGCATCAAGGAGCATTACAGAGCAAAGTACAATCAGACTTAAGCCTCAAAACGTAAACTGCATGGAGATAGCGTCTTACGTGAGCTGCATGGGACGAAACTTTGGAGGCAAGCATTTGGATCAGATCACAAAAGTGGATACAGCAAATAAGGCAATGAATGAGTTTTCGAGATCAACATAAGAAGAAAAGGAAAACATACTCTGTTGATTTGTTGTAATTTGATATATTTCCATTTCTTGTTTTGGCAATATCACATTGCCTTTTTCTGTAGATTTTCTAGTCGTTTTCTATTCTCTTCTCCAGCAGATTTCGACATTTATATATCTAACCTATTGTGTACAGTTTCTAAATAAGAGAGAGTGAATTATTCTTCTTCCTTTTGTCTGTCAAGAACCCTAAAATCGCCTCTCATGTTTTTCATATTCTCGGCTGCTCTTTGAAGCACTTAACCAAGATTTCTCTTCTGTTTTGTGTTTAATCTAACACAAATCTATAAAATCTTTATGGTATCAGAGCACTAAGGTCCTTGACCCCTCTGTTTACATTCATTCTTTTGATACTAAGTTTTCTTCTCCCATCGAAATTGCTATGGATGCTCACCAGAGACTCATTCCTATCACCTTGAAAGGTGATAATTATTTCTATTGGACGAAAGCTGCTACTGCAGCCCTCACTAGTCGAGGTTTATGGGAGTATGTTTCATCTGAGCAGCCGATCTTTTCCCCACACGAAGTGGCAATTGAAGGAGAGACACCGGAGCAGATTCAGCAACGCCTCACACAGCATCAACAAGCTGTTCTTGAAATCAACAAATGGAAACAGGAAGATAGCCAAGCATTAGTGATTCTTCAAGGCTCGTTAGATTCCAATATCCTACAGTCTTTCATTTCTCATGGCACAACAAAATCACTTTGGGAAGCTTTGAAGCGTGTTTACAGTAATCTCTCCAATGTTAGCCGAATTTTTGAGTTGAAGAGAAAACTCTTTCACCTCCAGCAAACCGATCAACCCTTCAATAAGATTCAAGGGGAGTTTTGTGCATTGTGGGCTGAATTGGAGGAGATTCGGCCAACATCCACAGATCCACATACTGTCATGGAGAGGGCTCAAGAAGACAAGGTTTTCTCGCTCCTCTCCACTCTTAATGCTTCTTATAACAATCTGGTTTATCATGTGTTAAGACAAGCTAAGCTACCCATCTTCGACGAGCTGTGTATGATGATCAGAAGGGAAGAAGGGGGACGCAATCTATTCACTGGTTCTCTTGAACTAGCGCATTATACTCATAACCCCACCGCTGCGAGATCCTCTTCCAAGGAGCGCAAACCCTTTCATTGTGATCATTGCAAGCGTCCCAGGCACACAAAGGATCGCTGTTGGATACTCAATCCTCACTTGAAACCTCCCCGGTACAAAGAAAATCCAAGACATGGATCAGCAATGACTGTCGGACATGATACCATGACAACCGAGAACAACATAAGTCTCACAAATGACGAATTGAAAGGGCTCAAACATCTCCTGCAATCCATCCACAAGGATTCTGGTAACTTTATTCGTCACTCTTCTATAATCATTGATTCGGGTGCCACCACCCATATGTTTTGTGATTCTGATTGGTTTGAACACATTGCACCAAGTCATGGAGTTGTTTCGGTTGCCAACGGTAAGAGTGTAGCTATTAAGGGAGTTGGACAAATAAAACTCTTTGATCATGAACTCACAGCTTTATACATACCAGATTTTAATGCTAATCTCCTTTTTGTTCCTAAACTTGTTGAAGATTCTTCTTGTCGTGTTATATTCGACTCTAATGGTGTCTCATTTCAAGATATTGACTCGGATTGTGTTTTTGGCAAGGGAACACGTACGGGGCAACCTGTTTTATCTCGAAGATTTTCATTCTAGCTTTCTTTCTGTTTCCCCTAGTGTGTGGCATGCTCGATTTGGACATCCACATTCTAAGGTCTTTCGTTTACTTGTTCCCCATGTTAAGACATTTGATCACTTCTGCGAGGCATGTACGTTAGGGAAACATTGTCGTACGGTTTTTCCAGACTCTACTACTATCTATGAGAATGTTTTTGATTTGGTTCACTCGGATGTATGGACTGCTCCTTGTTTTTCTCGTGATAATTATAAGTACTTTGTGACTTTTATCGATGAGAAATCAAAATACACGTGGATTACCCCTCTCAAACGTAAGAGTGATGTGTTTCATGCTACACAACATTTTCTGTCTTATGTCTCTAACCAGTTTCATGTGAAGGTTAAGTGTTTACGTACTGATAATGGCGGAGAGTACATGGGCTTGCAATTTCAGAATTTTCTTCTCCAAGAAGGCATAGTCCATCAACGGTCTTGTCCTCACACTCCACAGCAAAATGGTGCTGCGGAACGCAAGAACCGTCACTTGATGGAGGTTGCTCGCACACTTCTATTCCATCGCAATGTTCCAAAACGCTTTTGGTGTGATGCGGTGAAAATGGCATGCTACCTTATTAACCGTCTCCCAACTCAAGTGCTCCAAGATAAATCGCCGTATGAGGTACTTTTCCAACGTCGTGATTCAATTGAACACTTACGTGTATTTGGTTGTGTCTGTTTTGCTCATTTAGATTAAAGCCAAAGAGACAAACTTGATCCAAGGAGCACTCGTGTTTTTCTTGGATATCCTGCCAATCAAAAGGGTTATCTGTGCTATCACCCACCGAGCAACCGAATGTATACCTCACGGCATGTGAAATTCATTGAGGAGATTGGGTATTTTGGTGACACGAATTGGAAAGCCTTGGAGAACCTTGATACACAAGGCACAGATTCTAATGACTCCATTTTTCAACTTGTCACAACAATCCAACAACTTGGAGCTCAACAACCCTCGGTACAAACACCTGATCTTCATGCCGATGATATTCCCCCTTCTCATTCTACTTCCGTAGATACTTTGCTCGATTCTAACATTTCAGGAAGTGACTCATCACATTTTGACGATGAAACCCCAACTCATGATGACACTACTCTTGAGGGGGAATAGTCACCTGCCTCCATTCTTAACACTTCTCCTGTCGTCACTCCCCAACCTGCCTCATCCTCATCTGCCCCTCCCCAACCAGTAGAACCCCTTCCTCTCCGACGGAGCGCAAGAGATCGCAAGCCTCCACCCGAATGGTGGAAGTGCACCACCACAAACTCTTCCAACAATGTTGTTGCTCATCCAATAGCTAAGTACTCCTCTCTTGTTGATTTCCCTACCACTGAACAAACTTTTTTAAGTGTGATAGAACAGGGATTTGAACCGACATCCTATAACCAAGCAAAGGATATCGCGGTATGGCAACAAGCTATGGATGAAGAAATCTCAGCCCTTGAAAAGAATGAAACTTGGGAAATAACCGAACTCCCACATGGCAAGCAACCTGTTGGCTGCAAATGGGTATACAAGATCAAGTATCTCAGCAATGGAGAAATTGAACGTCATAAAGCACGTCTAGTTGCAAAAGGGTATACCCAAACCTATGGCGAAGATTACACTGAGACATTTGCCCTCGTTGCGAAACTACCAACGGTACGCGTAATTCTTTCTCTGGTTGTGAATCTTGGTTGGCAATTGTGGCAGATGGATGTGAAGAATGCGTTTCTCCAAGGCGACCTCGACGAAGAAATCTTCATGACTCCTCCTCCGGGCTACAAAGGTAACATCACTTTGGGATGTGCCAGCAAACTCAGGAAAGCAATCTACGGTCTCAAACAGTCTCCTCGTGCGTGGTATCACAAGCTTTATCAAGCCCTGACGACCAGAGGATGCTCCCGCAGTGATTCCGATCATTCACTCTTCACGCT